TATATATCATAGAATTGTGTATATATTATCGAATTAGTGTAAATAAATTAATGGTGTTCAATAACGGTTTTTGGCGGGAAAGTGCCACATCTATATATATAATTTGGAGCAACATCACTCAATTTTATTACCAATTGCGTTAAATTTTATAATTTCGTTTTCCCTCCTAAAGCAATTACAAAACACAAAACTAATGCAAAAATTATTAGTTTTATGTTTTTTGCTTTTTTTTTTCTTTCTATAATCACCTCAAAATCTATAACGGATGTGTCGGGCATAAATCATGCAAAATTGTTTTGGTGGGCAAATTTGGCAGAAATAAGAAAAATTATATTATTTTGCATTCTTATATTTTAAATTATTCTATGATGTATTTAATGTAGATTATTCATATTATATTTTTTTAAGATACTGATATAGCCATATTATCATATACCGGTTCTGACACTCCTAACTCGACCGGGTAACCACGCAGACCATCTACAGGACGATATGTTCCCATCAACATACGCAAACCGACTTCCATAAAGTCGATTCTAGAAAGAGCGACCGAGAAGAGGCAGAAATTTGTCTAGTCGACTCTCACAAGTCGGCCTCAGTCTGTCGATTTGCATTAGTCGATATCTGTATAAGAAGAACAACAAGAGCGTAACTTCCAAGCATCCAGATACTCTAAGTCGACTCCCAGTAGTCCACTTCACTAAGACGATTCTCTAATGACGACATCCACTCGAGAGAATTAACCAAGCGCAGCCTCCGAATCCTCATATGATCATAAGTCGACCTCCTAGCTCTCGAGGTCGACTCTGCATACCTCGAAGACCAAAGATGAGATGACGACTCATCACACGTGCAACATACTTAAAGCTCTACATACTCCAAAGGATAAGAAAGAATCTTGTGATAACTCAGCAGCAAGGGGAGACGAATCGACTGGGGCATTTTGGACCTTTTAGGTCCACCGACTTGGGCATTCTGGGTAATTCAAGTAAGTATTAACTCCTATATAAAGGAGGTGAGGTAACCCCAAACCCTAACTCTCATTCATTCCACATTCTCCTCATAGCTGCTGCGCAGCATCCCTTCATCACTCTCATAATGACTTGAGCGTCGGAGGCTCTACGCCAGAAACACCTCCGGCGTTGAGTTTTTGCAGGTATCTCGCCGTCTAGCAATGATTCAGAGGCGGTTCAAGCAGATCTGAGCTCAAATCCACCGGTTCTTTTCAGATCTAGAAGTAGACCCATCATATTGGCGCCGTCTGTGGGGAGTTCTTGAAGGAAGTAAGAGCTTCACACCTAGCTCCGATCTGTTTGCTGATGGCGGAGAAGGAAGGTTTGCAGAGGAATCTAAACGAAAAGTTTAGGGGAACGTGGATGGACAAGAGGCCACCACCACTTTCCGCCCCTAAACACCCAATGATGGGGATGCCACCATTTGGAGGACCTCCACCACCGGGGCTGACGTTGGGTGGAGAAGCTCCCGTCACTCCAACCGGAGTGAAGATGCAAGTGTTGATCCAGGCAGGAACAAGTCAAAACCCTAACCCAGATGGAGAGAAGGAACCAACAGAGATGTCTCGACGCCAGGGAAAATAGATACAGGAGGTACCGGAGCAGACACAACCCCGGGTCGAGGAGCAGACCTTGACAATGACGAGGAGCGAAATGCAAAAGATGATAGCTGAAGTTGTGGCCGCCCAGATGAAGCAGGTGGCGCAGGTCGAGCAGCAGCCTCGTGTTAAGTACCAGCCTCGGGTCAAGCAACAACCTCGTGTTGAACAACAAGCTCAGTCAAACGTACAACAGAATAGAAAGGTGGACGAGGAAATATTCCTCCATTCGAACTATCAATCCGCAGCCGAGGGACGAAACGTTAGAACAGCTGCGGCCCAGTTCCGCGACTTGCAGGCTGGAGTCGGGGTGAGAAAGAGTAGTGGAGCAAAGGAACACCCATTCTCGCAGCAAATCCTGAAAGCCGACTTACCCAAAGGCTTCAGGGAGTTGAACATATGGTACGATGGCTCCACTGATCCGTCTCGACATCTGAGGAGTTTTGAGAACATGGCGGTGCTCCACCGCTACATTGACCCAGTGCAATGTCGCGCTTTCTTGACGACGTTGACGGGGTCGGCCCAGGACTGGTTTCACCAACTACCAGTTGGGTCGATTAAGGACTTTGATGGATTCAGCTCGAGTTCTCTTAACCAATTTGCAAGTGTGAGGGTGCAAGAGAAGTCCTACCTCTCGTTGATTAGCATGCAGCAGAAGAAGGGTGAGTCATTGCGAGAGTATGTGGCGAGGTTTACAACGGCATGTGTCGAGTGCCCAACAGCAACAGAGGAAATCAAATCAGGAGGACTGACGAGGGGGCTATTGCCAGGGTTGTGTAAGAACTCTTTGGTTAAGCGACCTGGTAGGAGTTTCGATGACGTGTTGGGGAGGTGTGCCAAGTATATGAATGTCGAGGAAGCAGAAGCCGACTATTTGCAAAGTGTGAAAATGTCCCACATTTATGGTCGAGACGACAAAAAGGAAAAGAAGGGCCAGTCGACAGGAGAAAGAAGAGGATCACCGCGAGCTGATAGGGGTGAAGGACGATCTAGAGGATGGAGACCAATTCAATACACACCCCTGTCAGCCCCTCACGCGAGAATTCTGGAAGTGATGGAACGGGAGATCCGTGACGATGTGGTGAGATGGCCGCGGACAAGAAAGGATGGACCAATGAAGCCCAAAAGCAACTTATATTGTTGATTTAACAAAGATTACGGGCACAACACTGACGATTGCCGACACCTTAAAGACGAGATCGAGAGGTTGATAAAAGCCGGCCACTTGAAAGAGTTCATATACAAAGATCGCGAGAGGACGAGCAAGAGACGAGAAAGGAGTAAGAGCCCTCGCAAGAGGGCAAGGTCACCAGAGAAGGAGGAGCTCCCACCGAAAAA